AAGAATTTAAAAATTTAAAGGGGAGGAGGGGGGGGGGAGGAAAGAACAATTTCAAATTATTAATAATTATTTATTAATTAATTATACATTTACAAAGTAGGTAGAGACTCTGGGAAGAGCATCCAGAGGGAAATGGGCTGGGAAATGGGAGTGGGTTCGTGCCCCTCTGTGCCCAGGGAGGGATACAGGGATGGAGGGATGGAGGGATGGATGGATGGATGGATGGATGGATGGATGGATGGATGGATGGATGGATGGATGGATGGATGGATGGATGGATGGAGAGATGGATGGAGGGATGGAGGGATGGATGGATGGATGGATGGATGGATGGATGGATGGATGGATGGATGGATGGATGGATGGATGGAGAGATGGATGGAGGGATGGAGGGATGGATGGAGGGATGGATGGATGGATGGATGGATGGATGGATGGATGGATGGATGGAGGGATGGATGAAGAAAAAGCCACTGGCAGATGAGAGCGGAGCCGACAATCCAACCTGGAAATCGGGTCGTCCTTTTTCCCCTTTCTCCCCTTTTTGAGGCTTTTCAGTTGAAATCCTTTTATCTCTTTCATATTTATTTCTTTTTGGCTCTGCCTTGTGTTTGCTCCGGGATTTGCTGGAGGTCATGGAGGGAAAGGGGGGGAGGGGGTTAAATAGCACCTTTAGAAACTTCACAAGTTGGGCAGTTGAAGAAAGGGGGGTCAAAAATAACCTAAAATCAAAGGGAATGAAAAGAAATCAAGTGGAGTCGTGTCTTTGGGGGCTGGAGCACCAGGTGGTCCCAGGAAAGAAAAGGTGATTAAACAAAATGAACAACCCCACGGGATAATCATCCCAGAGGGGAGAAACCCCAATGACTCCTGAGGGACCTTGAAAGGAGGAAAATTCAAAACACAAACCCAAAAAACGGGGAGAAAAAAGAGAGAGAAAGGGAGAAATTAGCACCTTTGATCTGAACCTGGCAGGAAAAATCCCTGCAGGGTTGAAAGTAAAACAAAACAAACTGAAATGAACCTCAAACTGCTTGAGAAGGGAGGAAAAATAAGCCCTGAATTTTAAAGGAAGAGGGAAGGGTAGAAAAGAACCAAGAGCCCAAAGCAAGAGAGGGTCTGGAAAAGGAGAGTGAGGAGTGAAGGGTTGACTCTGCTCGGCAGGGGGGGCTTGGGATTGAGCCCTTTTTGCTGCCTGAAGAGGAATAAAATCAGGGAAAAATCTACTTGAAATGAAAAAACAGAGAGAGAGAGAAATCGAGGGGGGAGGGAAGAGAAGGAGAAACACCAAAAAGCAAATTCAAACCCAGAGATCAAACATCTTCCTGGCGGCCAAACGGTTCCTCTGCTGAGATGTGAGAAGCAAAGGGGGGTTTTTTTTGGGGGGGTTGGGCTGGTCCCAGT